GATGAAAATAAGGTGCTCAGGGTAGAGCGACAACATTATAACACAACAAAATGTCAACGTAACATCACTGACCAGATTGAACTTATGAGTAGCTCCATTGTTAGTAATAAAGAACATAAACAACAAACAGCAAAACTAGAATCAAAAATAACAAAAACAATACTAAAAAATACCGATGAAATAAAAAACCCCAACTTAAAAGCTTAGTTGGGTACTGAGAGTTTCAAGACCGTGCAATCAACCAAATAAACCACTTACACGTAAACCAAAAAATAAATAAAAAACCAAAAGCAAAAATATAAAACAAAACATAAACCAAGGTCTATAAAACAACATAAACTAAGCGTCTATAAAAACAAAGCAAAGTGACACCAGAAATCATAACAAGAACTTAGACGGCAGCAGCCAGCGCCAGCCCAGACAACAACACAAAAAAAGCGAGGTAGAATGTGCATTGTTGTTGTCTTGTTTTACCTTCGAGAGGCTGGGCCGTGGTGGGGACCTCTGAGAAGGTAATCCGCTTAACACACAAACCAACACCACCTTCCCTGGCTGGTTGGAGGGAAGAGTTGGCACAGATGCACTGACAATGATCTTCAAAATGGTATGTTCATTTTCTAAAACTTCTTTCAATATATTCACAAGATCACTATCTGCATAGTACGCACCCCACACACATCCTAACAAGAAGGATCACAGGATAGAGTAAAACACCCCCCCAAACAACCATAAAGCATATCCCCACTTCACAATCAACCATAAAACTCTCACTTCACAATCAACCATAAACTCCCTCTAGCTCACAATAAACAACAAAATTATCTCTTTTTCACAGTCAACCACAAAATATCCTCTTGCTTACAACAGTCAACCACAAATTATCCTCTCCTTCAATCAACCTAACAACCTACCTCACCTCACACTCAACCACAACAACCTACCTCACCTCACACTCCAACCACAACAACCTACCCCACCTCACACCAACCACAACAACTACCTCCTCACACTCAACCACAACAACCCACTCTAACCTACCCCACCTCACACTCAACCACAACAACCTACCTCCTCACACTCAACCACAACAACCTACTCACCACACTCCAACCACACCACCACCTCACCAACCAACACACAAAAATATCTCCTGACTGAGTAAAACAAAAACAATAAACTGTAATTAACTTAAAGTCTTTTCCTTTGATCAGTTAATGTGTATGAATAATAAACCAAAACAGGAACATCATATACTCATACACATCACTTCCACAAGATCAATTATATGTAAACCAAATTTCACCACACACACATATATGTACACACACACATAAACACATACACACACAAACAAACACACATATACACATACACACACATATATACACAAACACAAAACATAATCACATACACAAACACACTTCTCTCTTGATACTGTGACTATAATAATAAAACGCAGCAAAGAAATGAAAGTGTGTGACCAACAGTATACACCCTCCCCCAAGGTGGCTTCAGATCAGTGTGTGGGTTCAGTCATGTAGTGTGTGGGTTCAATCATGTGAGTGTGGGGTTCAGTCAAGTGAGTGTGTGCTTTCAGTCAAGTAAGTGCATGTGATTTCAGTCAAGTGAGTTTGGATTTCCAGTGTCACATGGATCCAGTCAGTGATTTGGGTTCAGTCACAGTGTGTGGTTCAATCAAGTGAGTCGTAGGTTCGGTCAGTGAGAATATAACATCTACTACAATAATAAAACCACATTAGCCTAAAAAAGAAATACTAAGGATATGTCTATCATCCCAACAGTATAGTACAGTAATACACCTAAAGAATCCACCCTAGACCAATGGCTGCTACTGACTCACTAACCTACCCACGCCAATCTACCTTCTAAACTACTAACTTCGCACACTCTTGGACAGAGGTATTTACCTTCTTGGTGGATTTGACGGAGAACATCGTTGGGGAGTTTATCGTGGTTCTTGGCCGGATGATGGATGGAGGAGAACAGACGGATGAGTCACACGATCAGGCTTTTTGCTCTGTTGGCGATGAAATGTTATATTATCATAATTATCACCGTCATCAATTTTTGAGTTACTACCATGTTTGTTTTGATAGTTAAGTAGAACATATATTATTGTAGTATAGTTCAGGTTAATGTTAATGCAATTTTACTGGAAGCTTCAACCTAACCTACCTTACCTAACCAACCAACCCCTCATAAAATCAACAACCTGAATATAATGCGATAAAAGAAACCAGAATATATGTTAAAACTACTGTCACCATCATAGCTACCATCATCACTGCCAGTATGCAATAAGCTACCATCATCACTTCAGTAAACCTCCATCATCACTCACCGGCACACGATAGCCACCATCATCACCCAAATACAGTAAGCTACCATCATCACCCATATACATTAGCTACCATCATCACTGCCGGTATACAGTAGCTACCATCATCACTGCTTATGCAACAGTATACTACTCATCATCACTGCCAGTATACAATAGCTACCATCATCACTGCCAGTATACAGTAAGCTACCATCATCACTGCCGTACAGTAAGCTACATCACATCCTGCCAGTATACAGTAAGCTACCATCATCACTGCCGGTATACAGAAAGCTACCATCATCACTGCCAGTATACGATAGCTACCCTCATCACTGCCGGTATACAGTAGCTACCATCATCACTGCCAGTATGATGGCTACCATATCACTGCCGGTATACAGTAAAGCTACCATCATCACTGCCAGTATACAGTAAGCTACCATCATCACTGCCCGGTATGCAGTAGCTACCATCATCACTGCCAGTATACAGTAGCATCATCATCACCTGCCAGTATACAGTAAGCTACCATCATCACTGACGGTATAGATGGCTACCATCATCACTGCCAGTATACAGTAGCTACCATCATCTGCAGTATAAACACAAAAACAACTGAGCGATGGTGAGGTGAACTGTGATATATTGTACCAACTTACTGGTGTACTCTGGCATGAGGGTGAAAAGCTCAAGCGGAAGCCAGGAACTTGTCTCCTGGAGTCGACCAAAGTGGAGGCTTTCAAGCTTCTTGCTAGGAGAGGTTTTCCCTACCGATGGCAGGCGTGGCCTTACGCTAGCGTCCATAACCGCTGTCTAAACACTGGACTGTGGAAGAAAATACTATAATAACTGTTACTTAGGAGATTCTCTGTATAGATATATAATACACACACACAAATGCACATAACATACATGCACATAACAACATACATAACATACACACACACACACAATATAATAAATAATCCTTTTTGTTTTCCTTTTTTTTTGGAAATACTATCCAAATATCTCTGTACATGTGTGTGTGTGTGTGTGTGTGTGTGTGTGTGTGTGTGTGTTTAATGGTTCCGTGTGTGTGTTTTGTAGTTCTGTGTGTATGTGTGTCTGTATGTATGTTTATATTTAATGCATGTATATGTATGTGCGTGTGTGCTGTCATACTGTACCTGGTTCCGACAACTCTAGTTACTCATGGCCAGGGTCTCAACATATGCGTTCCCTTCTCAGTATCACCGTATGATCTATGTCCTCCAGGTCGTGGCGTCTGAGGCTAAACGGACAACAAATACTTAAGTCTGCATCCCACGTGTGCTACCATCTGTGGTGTTTGAGGATGAACAAATGATTACGTTAAAACTTACCACCGAGATAGATAGATAAATCGTCAAAATACGAGCTGAGCAAATCCCTTATAACCACCGACATATGAACTTAGTTGAAAATGTTCTCAGCAAAAAGTTGTGTTTTATAAAGGTGATATAAACATAGGTACCCAGAGACAGGATCATCCCAGTATAGTAGACTCACCAGATGCTGTAGTGGGCGCTCTTTTTCTCTATCTCCGTAAAGGCGTTCTTGGCGTGTTGGGGTTTTGGCAAGAACTGCAGGAGGCGCCGAGACATGGTCTTGGCTGACCCGATGGGCTCGCTGGGTGTAGGCGATGTGATGTGGGGTTGGAGATGGTGAGGCTGGCAAGTGTGGACTGGGGCCCGGGATGCCTAAAGAGTGGGCGTGGAGGTGAGGTTACCGTCATCAGGACAGGTTGGGACTATTGAAACTGTGATGGACTGAAGGGTATTGTCTTCACCGGCGTCATCTTGTGGGGGATTGATTAGTATTTCGTTGGCTTCCTGGAGGACAATAACAAACAGTTGACATAAAATACTACTGAGGTATTACAGCCATTAAACAGCGGCCATTATCTGTGGAAGTTATATTATTTCTGTGTTACAGTTTTGTGCATTTCAGAAGTGAAGGAAGGGGAGGAGAGAGGAGAACAGAGGAACAGGAGGAGGAAAATGGGAGGAGGAGAAAATGGGAGGAGTATATGACATCAAAATTAGCAAATGAATTTAAAATATAAGACCCAATATCAGGGCAGGCACATGACATTAACATATTATTCTTAGTCAATTAACCCCTTGTGCAGGAGAGTCATCTCAGAGAAGTAATGCTCACCAATAGGGACAGATGATGGACGGTGGGGACGGCTGCTTCCTCGTCCCGCCTCAATATGAGGGGTAGGCGTGTGATTCATAGATGAGAAAGGAACCATTGTGTGTACTGTTGGAGCTCATGTTGTGGGAAGATACCGGACAGGTGGTGATGGAGGTGGTGGTGTGTACGGAGGGAGGATGTAGCCCGCAGGAGGAGGGAGGACATGAAGGAAGGGGCAGGAGGTGAGGTGGTGATGATGACGGGTACGATGGAAGGGGTTGGGAAGGATAAATTCTTGCAACAACTCTTGCTTGACCTGTGATAAACAGATGGCTGGGTTTAATGCTTTTGTAGATACAAGATTATTATTACATCTTCAATTAACTGTACTGTATGTGAGTACAGTATAAGTGTCTACTGTAACTGTCTACAGTATATGTGTAAGCAGGTAGAGGACCACTACCTTGACTGGGCTACAGGTGAGCTCAAACATATATCAGGTCTGCTGGGAGTCCTCCATGAGTACGGTCAGGCTTGAGTGGAGACAATGACCAGCTCATAAGTATCTGCCAAACACATAATGATTAGTTGAGTGAAATGATATACTTCAGTAATCTCAATAATTTATTAAACATACAGTAAGTTAGAATAAAAACAGTATAAATTTGGGTTAATTCATGCCCAAAGATCTCGACCCAGAGATAATCAGTGGCAGGTGATTGAGACTCAATCATCACCAGACAAACTCATACCACCTGGACACTAAATATCATCTCTGGCACTCTTTAAAATACTAGTGATGAGAATATTCTAGATTTGTAGAAATAGGGAAGTGTGAAATAATATACAATTTAAGCTACAGTACATTTTTTGCATCGAGTTGTGGAAAAATAAACAATACAGTATACATATTCTCTTGCTGTGTGTAGTTTAATAAGATACTGTATAACATTTATCATGAAACTTTGGTCGAATAATAACAAGAAATATTAATGGGCAAAGTTGAAGGTAGGAAGAACCAGAGATACAACACCTTAGAGCGGATTTAAATCAGACGAAGCGTTTACAGTGGAGGACTGTGGTCACTATCCCTCAGATATGATGACAGTACTATGATGCGTGTCATTGATTTTCCTCGGTCAATATATAGTTTATGAAAATTTACTAATCCGTTTACTGAAATCACAATGTACTGTAAACTAATCTCGTATTTACTCTGTTATAACACATATTTATTTATCTAGTACACATACAAATGTTTCATATTAAGTTTTAATGTAATTTATTTCCTGCAAGTTATTGTACAACTGTGAATCCTGATACCAAGGTATTTAAGGAGTGCGTTATATTAAGATTCTGTGGCGGTGGTGGTGGTGACAACGCTATTAACGATAGGAAGGGCTGGAAAGAATGATTAATATTGTGCAGTATATAAAAAATGAAAACTCCTAGATATGCTCATCAAGAATATAAATACACAGAAAGGAAATAAATATTGAGAAAAAACTGAAAAGAAAAAGCATAATCAGAAATAAATAAATACATGAAAGGAATGAAACAAAACTAAAAAAAAATCAGAATAAATAAATAAATAGGTAATATATAGGACTGAAGTCTCTTCCTCTATCCTCATGATAGTAAAGTACAATGATAAGCTGTGTACACCCTGAGCTTGCAGTTAATTTGATCATAACAGGGAAGCTAAAGGTGTGAGACAACTCATCATAGATATAAGAATGACGACATGGTGACAGTATTGCAGGAAGAGTGGTTGGGTACATAGAATGTTAGGTTGATGTGAGAAGAAGAGGAGAGAGGATAACACTAGAGGAGAGAGGGTAACCAAAGGAGAGAGGTGTACTTGCAGAGAGAGATGATGCCAGGTAGTGATAGATGCTGGACTTGTCAGGTGGAGGAGAAACCCTGGTTTGAGGAGGCTCACCGATGACGTCAGCGATGACACAACAAACAGTTGGGGCTGAGAAGGTACTGACTGTACTGGCTCCAGGCGGGATGGGCACCCGGGCGGTGGTGTCGGCGCGGATATAGATTGCCTGTTGAATGTTAATGTCGTTTGCAGGACCCAGCGATCGCACAAATGCATAGTCTCGACTATAAGTTTTCATGTTTGATCAAGATATATCCTGTTACTAGAGCTTCCTCTGAACAATTAACCATTATTAGTTAGTATCTCTCTTGACCATACACAGTCATTAACCATTACCAGTAGTTGTTCTACAGCCAAGATGTAGTTATCTCTTTGCAGCACCCAGGGAAATTTTGCTAGAAACTTAACAGTTAACTGGAACCATTGTGTGAAGGGCACTGCTAGTCCAATCACTGGGACATCCAGCTTTAAAAAACTCACCTGGGCGGTTGTGGGAGAACTACAGGCGTCAGTGGTGCCAGCGGGGTAGTTGAGGCATGGCCCCTACTCCCTCGACCAGACCCTCACGTCCACAATAGTACGGGTTTTGTGTGGCGTGAAAGTTTACAATCCTCACCTGGTTGGACAGGGTGCCCCCAGACTGTCTACACTGGTGGGCGGAGGCTGGTGGTGGGAGGACTGTGTCAGGCTGCGCTACCTTACACATAGTTGTTGTTGGTGGTGTTATTATTATTTGTTGTTGTTGTTATGCAGGCTGTTATACTCCAAGTAACTCTGTAGTGTATCAAACCATAAATAATATCAGCATAAAAATATTTTGTCACTCGTCATCAGTAAAGATTAAGCCTGACTGGTGATATATTTGTAAAATAGACAGAAATTTATGTGAAAAACCAATCCTCTAATTGCAAATAAACCTTTTTTTTTACAGGGCACAGCCCACCTGGGCACAAGTCATTGACCTAGCGAGGCCTGGGGGAAGTAAGAAGAAAATCAGAAGAAAAAGACTACAATTAAACAATCTACACCACGAGATCACCGAGGAGAAAACCGGCAAGCGAGAGACCAGAGTATAGCATTATGGAAACACAGAAAGAAGCAGGCATTCACAGTTTGGCTGATAAAGAAGGATGTACTATAACTGGTTATTATAGTGGTAAACATCACAAATGGACACTGTGGGCAAGACAGTGAATTAAACAACGACATGACCCTGCCAGCTGGAAATTCTGTTACGTTAAAACTACTAAAGTGAAAAACATTGTGGCAAAGAAAGGAAGAAAAAAGATTATCAACTAAAGGAGTTAATAGGCAAATACTATGTTCAACCTATCTAACAAGTTGGACAAAGAGCCACCCCAGATATGAAACAGTACACTTAAGTACTCAGTAATCTGATACAGCATATATAAATTGTAATTAGAGAGTTTTCTCACCTGTAATCATCCACCAAACCATATGGGAGGCGTGTTGTTGTTGACAAATGGTGTGTGCATGGCGGTGGCATGTCACCTAGTGAAGTGTGGGGATGAGAAGTCCTGGGTGGAGCTGAGCCGGCAGTGCCCTCCCCATGAATGGTAGTATATGTGGAAGGAGGGGGAAGGGGGGGAGGCAGCAGGGAGGTTGTGCCAGTGCTGTATGCGTGACTGATCGGTGGACCCAAACATCTGTGGGTAAACACACACACTCACACCTCTATCAACAACACAAAAATAATAAAGTAATTCCTGGCGAATTATAATGTCACCTTAAACATCAAATTGTAGTGGGTGAGGTGAACGTTTGGGCGACTATTAAGCTAGATTAGGTTTTGTTAGATTAAATTGTTATGTTATATTATATTAAATATATGTTATGTTACATTATGTAATGTTATGATAAGTTATATTAAATTACGTTCTGTTATGTTTTATGCAGTCAGGCCAAAACGTCCAACACTATACAGTGTGCAGTGCAGAAGTTCCTTGACTTCTGTAAAATTTATTCCTCAAAACTGTTCATAAATCAATTTTTCTTACACTGAGGAACACTTTTATTTGATTATTACCACTACTTAACTAAACACTAACTTAACCTACTACAGCTGTAACAAGAGAATAATAATCACCCAATTACTGTCTACAGTCATTAATGAAAGAACAAACTCACAAAACGAACATCTGGTTTAGTGGATTAAACTCTTAGTTATGAAGACTAAAAGTGAATACTGAAGGATGATTCTGTTAGTAAATCAATAAGGATGAATCTTCAAGCTATTAATCTATTTCACTACATATACAATACAGTGATACTATCTCATTGGCACAAATGTGCCCTCAAAATTTTTCCAAAAGCCATAATCTTTCCAAAATTTCCGACTTTGTGAACGATTTCAAGAAAATTTCAATTCCGGCCATCGGAGTTCGGGTTTGGCGGATTCGGCTAACGGAGATACTGTATTACGTAGAACTGTACTGCAGTAGCTACGATTCACGGTTCACGGTGGCCGTATTAGGAAAGCTTGACATTGGGTGGGTTAACTGTATCTGTCTGTTATTGGGAGGGTTAACTGTAGTCTGTTGAGAGGGTTAACTGTAGTCTATTATTGAGAGGGGTTACAACACTACAAGCTTCCCACCTGCTCTGTGGTAGTAGTCCTGGGAGTAGTGTTGTGGTGGTGGTGCGGATTGCCATCACAGGGTTGTCTGCCGAGTTGTGTACGTCCACCCGCTGTTCTTGCGTCCGGCAGCCCCTCATCTCCACGCCTCGTGCCACGCCTCATGGTAGAGTTCCAGTGATTCTTGATGGCGTTGTCAGTCCTGGAAGATCATTTTGCATTGCTCTCGTTGAGTCACCGAGAACTGTGTTGCAATCAAATGGTAAATATTTCTAAAACACGCACATACATAAACAGTGAAAATCTATGTAGCAATTTACTGTAGATATTTGTAAATTGTGTAAATCTTCACAACTACTAAAAATACAGACAGTAATGCAATCTAGACATATATAAACACTGTCTACCCTACCTTCACACCAGGCAAGTAAACTGATCCCTCACCTATCATACCTGGCCTAACAACCATTCCCTCTTTTTAACAGTGACCCACTAAACAACCATTGCCCTCCTTTACATCCCTTGACCTGACAACCATTGACCCTCTTTTAACGGTGACCCTGTAATCACCAGACTCACCTGCCAGGGATCAACTTAGCAATCTTGGCCCACTGGTTCCACTGTTTTGCGCCTCGTAAATGATCGGTCTTCCTCCTCTGTCCAGGCACTCTTCTTGATGGCTGGGTTGAAGTCAGATGACCTCCATCGTTCGGCACTGTTTCCCGATGCGACTTCAGGTGTTTGGCGATCAGCGTCCGCTTGGGCCCATATTTCTCCACCAGTTCGATAACTTTCTCGTCCTCCTGCCAAACAAACACCAACAAAACACGTTGTAGTTTGATTGATTGTTTGTTTGTTTGCCACCTGTCTAGGTATATTGTTTGTTTACCTATACTGTCTAGGTATATTGTTTGTATACCTGTACTGTCTAGGTATATTGTTTGTTTACCTGTACTGTCTAGGTATATTGTTTGTATATCTACTGTACATGTCTATATATTGTTTTTTTACCTGTACTGTCTAGGTAGATTGTTAATTACCTGTACTGTCGGTAGATTGATTAATACCTGTACTGTCTAGGTAGGTATATTGTTTGTTTACCTGTACTGTCTAGGTATATTGTTTTTTTTACCTGCAGTCTACCCTGTATAATGAAAATAAAAATAAAAACAAATAAAAATATATATTTGTAAGATGACTAAACAAAGAAAAAATATATACTACTGTTTTTGTTAGCCACAGAAGACTTAAACAACAACAACCTTTTACAAAATAAAAGCAAATCACAAGGAGGCATCTCAAGGACTCACCTGACCTCTTTGATCTCTCACGTGAACCAAATATTACCCTCTACTCTCTGCTACAAGTACATTCTCCAGGACCTCAACAGGCATTCTACTGTACAGTAGACTGACTGTGGAATCTCCTAGTTAACTGTCAGTGAGATCTCCTAGCCTTCACCGTCAGCATAGTCTCCAAGCCTTGACCGTCAGCATAGTCTCCAAGCCTTGACCGCCAGCATAGTCTCCAGCCTTGACCTGTCAGTAAGATCTCCAAGCCTTGACTGTCAGTGAAGATCTCCTTGACTGTCAGTAAGATCTCCAAGCCTTGACTGTAGCGAGATCTACTAACCTTGACTGTCAGCATAGTCTCCAAGCCTTACTGTCAGTAAGATTCCAGCCTTGACTGTCAGTGAGATCACCTAGCCTTGATTGTCAGCGTCAACCTAGCCTTGACTGTCAGTGATATCACCTAGCCTTGACTGTCGGTGAGATACTAGCCTTGACTAGCGGTGGATATCACCTGGCACCCAGCCGTCAGTGAGATCTCCTAGCCTACGTCGGTGAGATCACCTAGCCTTGACAATGGGTAAGATCACTAGCCTTGACGGCTCGGTGATATCACTAGCCTTGACTGTCAGTGAGATCCTAGCGACTGTCATTAAAGATCTCCTAGCCTTGACCGTCGGTGAGATCACCTAGCCTTGACGGTCGGTGAGATCACCTAGCCTGACTGTCAGTGAGATCTAGCCCTTGACTGTCAGTGAGATCACTCTAGCCTTGACTGTCAGCGAGATCACCCTAGCCTTGACTGTGGCGGATCACTAGCCTTGACTGTCAGCGAGATGCCTAGCCTTGACTGTCAGTGAGATCACTAGCCTTGACTGTCAGTGAGATCACCTACACCCGACTAAAGTAAAGATCCTAGCCTTGACTGTCAGTGAGATCACGTAACCTTGACTGTCAGTGAGATCACCTAGCCTTGACTGTCAGTGAGATCACCTAGCCTTGACTGTCAGTGAGATCACCTAGCCTTGACTGTGAGTGAGATCTCCTAGCCTTGACCATCGGTGAGATCACTAGCCTTGACTGTCAGTGAGATCACCTAGCCTTGACTGTCAGTGAGATCACCTAGCCTTGACTGTCAGTGAGATCACTAGCCTTGACTGTCAGCGAGATCACCCTAGCCTTGACTGTCAGCGAGATCACCTAGCCTTGACTGTCAGCGAGATCACCTAGCCCTTGACTGTCAGCAGAGACCACCTAGCCTTGACTGTCAGCGAGATCACCTAGCCTTGACTGTCAGCGAGATCACTAGCCTTGACTGTCAGTGACATCACCTAGCCTGACTGTCAGTGATTTTGACTGTCAGCGAGATCACCTAGCCTTGATGCTGTCAGTGAGATCTCCTAGCCTTGACTGTCAGTGAGATCACCTAGCCTTGACTGTCAGTGAGTTCACCTAGCCTTGACTGTCAGTGAGATACCCTAGCCCTGACTGCCCAGTGAGACAACTAGCCTTGACTGTCAGTGAGATCACCTAGCCTTGACTCAGCGAGATCACCTTGCCTTGACTGTCAGTGAGATCACCTAGCCTAATGTCGCGAGATCACCTAGTCTTGACTTCAGTGAGATCACCAGTCTTGACTTCAGTGAGATCACCAAGCCTTGACTTGTCAAGATATCCAGCCTTGACTGTCAGTGAGATCTCCAGCCCACCAGTGAGATCATCTAGCCTTGACTGTCAGTGAGATCACCTATTTGACTGTCAGTGAGAATCACCTAGCCTTGACTCTGGATCACCTAGTCTTGACTGTCAGTGAGATACCCAGCCTTGACTCAGTGAGATCACCTAGCCTTGACTGTCAGTGATCAGCCAGATCACCTAGCCTTGACTGTCGGTGAGATCACCCAGCCTTTGACTGTCAGTGAGATCACCCAGCCTGACCACGTGAGATCACCTAGCCTTGACTGCCAGTGAGATCACCTAGCCTTGACTGTCAGTGAGGATCACCTAGCCTTGACTGCCAGAGACCACCTAGCCTTGACTGTCAGTAGACCACCCTAGCCTGACCATGAGATCACCTAGCCTTGACTGTCAGTGAGACCACCTAGCCTTGACTGTCAGTGAGATCACCTAGCCTTGACTGTCCGTGAGATCACCTAGCCTTGATCAGAGTGAGACTCCATGCACTGACCACCCTTGATCAGTGAGATCACCTAGCCTGACCGCCGTGAGAATGCCCCACCTTGACTGTCAGTGAGATCACCTAGCCTTGACTGTCAGTGAGACCACCTAGCCTTGACTGTCAGCGAGATCACCTAGCCTTGACTGTCAGCATCACTAGCCTTGACTGTCAGCGAGATCACCAGCTTGACCATGCGAGATCACCCAGCCTTGACTGTCACGAGATCACCTAGCCTTGACTGTCAGTGAGATCACCTAGCCTTGACTGTCAGTGAGATCAACCTAGCCTTGACTGTCAGTTAAATCACCACCACTGCAGGAGACACCTAGCCTGACTGTCAGTAGTCACCAGCCTCGAACGTGAGACCACCCAGCCTTGACTATCAGGAGCAGACACCTAGCCTTGACTGCTCAGTGAGACCACCGGCCTTGACTCAAGTGAGATCACCTAGCCTTGACTGTCAGTGAGATCACCTAGCCTTGACTGCCAGTGAGATCACCAGCCTTGACTGTCAGTGAGATCACCTAGCCTTGACTGTCAGCAGATCACTGCTCTGACTGTCAGCGAGATCTCCTAGCCTTGACTGTCAAGAGAGACCTGCTTGATCGTCAGTGAAATCCTAGCCCTTGACTGTCAGTGAGATCACCTAGCCTTGACTGTCAGTGAGATCACCCAGCCTTGACGTCAGTGAGATCACCCAGCCTTGACTGTCAGTGAGATCACCTAGCCTTGACTGTCAGTGAGATCACCTAGCCTTGACCATCGGTGAGATCACCTAGCCTTGATCACCAGGTGAGATCACCTAGCCTTGACTGTCGGTGAGATCACCTAGCCTTGACTGTCAGCGAGATCACCTAGCTCTGACTGTCAGTGAGATCACCTAGCCTTGACTGTCGCGAGATCACCTAGCCTTGATCATGTCAGTGAGATCACCTAGCCTTGACTGTCAGTGAGATCACCAAGCCTTGACTGTCAGCGAGATCACCTAGCCTTGACTGTCAGTGAGATCACCTAGCCTGACTGTCAGTGAGATCACCTAGCCTTGACTGTCAGTGAGATCACCAGCCTTGACTGTCAGTGAGATCACTCAGCCTGACTGTCAGTGAGATCACCTAGCCTTGACTGTCAGTGAGATCACCTAGCCTTGACTGTCAAGTACATCACCCAGCCTTGAACTGTCAGTGAGATCACCTGGCCTTGACTGTCAGCGAGATCACCTGGCTCTGACTGTCAGCAAGACTACCTAGCCTTGACTGTCAGTGTGAGATCTAGCTCAATCTACATGTCTCTCCCCTCGTCTTGTCAACCGGTCTCCCAGGGAGGCCCCCAATATTTTGACAGTTGGGTGAAGGTCAAGTCAACGGAACACCACCCCCACACCTGTGTAATCAATTGCCACTAATGGTTTGGGTAGATGTGGGTGTGGGTAGGTGTTGCAAGTGCAGGTGGGGTAGGTGTAGGTGTGTGTGGTAAGATGTGGTAAGTCATGAGTCAAGCACCATCTATAGCTAATAGGGCGGTGACCCGTGATGCCTTAGCTCCTGACCAATCAGGAGGTCCTCCTGTACCCTGGCTCTGATTGTCCAGATTTTGACCATAGACAGTTATCTTAAATGAAAAACAAATAACTGCATCTTATTGGTTGAGTTTGTTTATCTTAAGTAAGAGTATTCGTATTAACAATAACACTAAAAACCCTAATTAGATAGCTTTTTACTCTAACATCATTTAGGGTGAGTAGAGATCACCTGAAGATTAACCACCCTAACCTAACCCAACCAAAACCCAATCACACTAAACCTAATCTCCTGAAGCAGCGTCAGGGTGCTTAATCATCAGGTGAAATAAACTGAGGGGGCCAATCCTCAGGTAATCCCATGAACCTTTGTGAACCTGGCGCCCGTAGGAGGTCGACCTTGTGTACAGGACGTAGGAGGCGTGTAGGAGTGCGTGGGTATCCTAAAGGCCAACACCTATGTGACTCACCTCAAGGATTCCATGTGGATTTTGGGGGCAGGGGTTACATGATTAGCCCCCACCCCCAACATCCTCACAGTGTCACCTTGAGATTAATCACCCTAAAGTTAATCTAACCTAACTTAACCCACTAATTCATAACCTAACTTAACCTTACCTTAATCGGACCTAATCTAACTTAACGCTAACACTAACCTCCGAGAATTAAGGTACCACACAATTCTAATATCCTCCCATCTCCCCATTCCCCAGCTAATGATCTATCCTCCCCTACCCCCCCCCAAACTCCCCATCTAACTTGCCGAAGGTTACCCATAAACCACTAACTACTGCGGCCCACACGCTACCTACGCCAACCTACGACATAGACACATACATGCCAACCTTACATCACACACACAGACGCACACAACCCAATCTTACACACACACCAACCGTACACACACACCCATAGACAGACAGACACACACACACATAGACAGACAGACAGACACACACCCATAAACAGACAAACACAGACACACCTATACCTTACTCGCCCACAGCCGCATACCAGCTTATCACCACAACCCACACGAAGGGGAAGGCAAGTGGGGCAAAATAAGGGGAAAGGAGGGAAGAGGAGAGAATGAAGGCTGAGGAAGGAGGAGGATGGAGAGAGGGAAAAGGAAAGAAGAGGATGAGGGAAAAGGAAGAGATGCATTGAGAAGGAAGCCCAAAAGGACGGATAGAAGAGGGAGGATGGAAGAGGGAAGGAATAAAGAAGGAATGAAGGAGGGGAGAAGGGAAGATGGATGAGACAGAGAGGTAAGATAAGGAAAGACGAGAGTGAGGATAGATGGATGAGGCAGAAAAGGTAGGGAGGTTGAAGAAGGGAGGGAAGAGGAGAGGAGGAAAGGAAAGAAGGCCTGGTAGTCATTCATCAAACTGTCGCCATTCACGTCAAGCACCATTTCTCTCTCCAGCATAAATGAAAACTTTGCACAAATACGATAAACACTAAAACAGGAAGAGAAAAGGATGACAAGAATAACAGGAAAGACGATATACAATAAATAATAAAGAATAACAACAAAGGTTACATCCGTATACCATCAAGAACTTCAAAATCCAACTAAAAATAAATAAATAAAAAAAGATTTAGACGAAATGAGAATAAAAATATAAAAAAATCACAGCAATACGTAACCGAACGAAGTAAT